CATGACTCTTTCGACTAATAGTAGAAAATATTGCCCACACATCTGTTTTTTTTTTTAATTCGAAATTAAATTTCATTGTATAAATTAACATACGTTTTAATAAATTACTAAAATAATACGTACCTACCTACATAGAAGATAAAAAAATTACGTTTGTATAGGTAAGTATCTACATATATAGTTGGGGCATTCAAAATTGAAGTAGTCCGTAATAAAACTGTCGCATTTAGTTTCTTCTTTTAACTTACTAACTAGATTAGAGCGGTTGCTGACAGAACGTCTACTTTTGCTCACGACAGACGTCGTAGGGAATATCGTAAACATAGAAAAGAGATGTCAGGAAGGAGTTGCAGCGGGCACTAATAAAGAAAAAAAAAAAGAATAACATTGTACCAAATAATGTCTAAGAAAGAGATGCAAACAAGCAGAATTTGAATATGTCGTTAGTGTCAGACTTTAAAGAAAGTTTTTATGAATTTAAGAAAGTAAAGACGCTTGTTTATAGATATAATTCCAGCCAGGCAGTTATAAAGCCGACCCTGATCTTTTGCGTACCTAAACAACCTCTAACCACTCCACTGCTTACCGTTATTCGGTTATCTCTTTTCACTTTGTCCATACTACTCATGAAGCATTTCCCAACTTAACAAGGACGTTCAAAACGCTGCAAATGACTGCAGTCCTAAGTGGAAACAAGAAAGAAGAATACGCCCATTCTCACAGAAAATTTGTTGCGGACTAGGCCAATTTTAATCGTCCCAACTATACATAGAAATCGTAGTATTTACCTATATTATAAATATTCAACATTATAAGGATCTGTAATAGTTGCTAGTAGCAGCAGGTACATTACAGACATAAAAGATATAATGTTGCAAAATTTAAAATGCAAAAAGGGTACATATTATAAATATAGTTACAAATAACCCTAATTTATATTAAGTTTGAGTCATATTAAGTATTAGTAAAAAATCTACATATATATAAAAGATAGAAATAAGAAGGTATTATAAAGAGTAGGAGAACAAAGGGAGCTAAACTTCGAGCCATCTAAAGTGACAGCTCATGCAATAAAACTGCCAACAATAGACCACCTTTGCCCATGCCTAAGTGCAATTACAGCTTTATGGCGTCATTCATTGTTATGAACCTGTGCCTACAAAGCTCAAAATAGTTAGAAAACTGTATTCAAGCGAATTTCACTTCTCTGTTTTATCGAAATATGAGAGATGTGCAGATAGTACAATATTTTTGTTGAATTTCAGATTCAATAAGGGTTATTTTCCCTTAAGATTGTCATTAAATAAAATTCGGGATGTCCTCCTTATTTCTGCGGATGTTAGCCATTCTACGAAATACTTAAAATTTTCTGGAAGTTTTATTACTTCAGTCGCCACTTTAGATTGCTCAGAGTTTATGGAATTCAAAAAGAAAATGAAGAACTAGGTAGAACATTTTAGTTAGAAATTAAAAATATATGTAGTCTTAGAGAAATGCGAAGATTTTAGCTGAAGATATATCCAAAACTAACTTCGGACTGATGGCAAGATGATGAATTGGCAACCCTAATCGTAGGAACAATTTTTCGTATCTCTACTGGTACTTATTTTGTTTAACATCAAATAATCCGTAATTACGACATTTACAACTTTTACTTATTCAAATTTTTAACTATAAAAACTTAGTCTTTCTTATTTAGAACAAAGAACAGCTGATATATTAATAAGTTTGGCATAGAATACATATTGTCTATAAAATTTTGGCAACAGTTATACATATATATATGCGTCATTCGAAATTGCTAGAGTTAGAAAGCATCTTAGCACATACATTTGACTGATATATTATAGTTAATTATTTTTTATTCATTTCGTTCTACACTATTACCTATAAGTTCGTAAGAGAAAGGTGTAATTTCACTTTTTTTATAATTTAGTCCACTATATATTCAGTATCTATGTACAATATTATTTAACTCATATCCATCAAGAATGGTTGTTTCACGTGCACCCTTTTTAATTAAAAAACAGGCCAGCCGGCACCGAGGGTTCCGTACGTAGTTTGTCCGTTACGAGTCTGGATTTTTTTTCCGCTTTTTCCGAGTAAGTTTCCCCCCCAAAAATTAGTCCCCAATTATTCCCAACAGGAACTACATCCTGTACGTTTTGCGAGTGTCAAGTATGCGGCATAAACGGAGTATCTTTTGATTATCTTGACTTTGAAGAAGTTTGATTTTTTCAAAAATCTGAGGAATGGCAGACCTAATTGTTTGATACCTCCACGAGTTCTTGATCTTGACAGACAAAGACAGATTTAAATGATAAGTCCAGTAATTGTAATTTAAAATCTTTAAGGGGTGTTACGCGTTTCTAAAAAGGTTTTTCAGAATTTGGTTAATTGAAGAAAGTTCCGAAAGTTCAGATAGATGACGTGACTCAAAAAAAATCCACATGTTCATCAAATTATACATTTTTTTTATCTAGTGTGGCATAGAAAGAACGAATGCCGATAAAAAAATGGGTAATTTCTATGTTCGGTGAACGTTCTGCCTTTAATTCTTATATGACAGAGATTAAGATAAAGTAGGTATTTAATAATAAATTGCAGCATTATAGATGCAAAAGTATACTTTGATGTTTAGCAGTATATAGATACTACAATAAAGTTTTAATAATATTAACTTATTAATAGTGTTCATCATCATAAGGTCGTCAG